GAAAGGACTATCATTGATATTTGAGGCCTTTGGTGCGAATATCGTGGGGTCAAAGCAAATCCTTCCAAATATATCTTACATTTATTATTTAATAGGTCATTTTCCAATTTGCTTTCCAGTGTTTCCTGGGATAAGTTGTTGCCAAGAGAAGAGAGACGGACCTCTGAACGAGTTTAGTATATAAGTGTTGTTCTAATTTGAGGATTGTTCAGGATTATTCGTTTGGACTAAAACACGACTCACGGCTGTTAGAATTTACACGGAAGTAGCTTTATTCAGAGACAGGAAACGGTATACACAGTATGGAGAAGAAGAACATGAAGACAAAAGACAATCGATCTGACTCTACAAACTATGGCGCGAGATTACGAATTACCAACAATAAGCACACCCAAAACATGTATCTTCTTGGTGACGATGCTCTCACACATCGTGCTGATCCAACAATGTAGAAGGCATTAAGAACGAAGGTTCAAAAGCATCTGTAGAATACTGAACCATGATTTTAAAGCTGTCAGGCAGGCGCTCCTGTCTACTCTACCAAAGCCGTGACACCTACATATGGAACCAACGAAGCGTAAGAGAGTGAAATTATCTATAATGCACTACACACTAGAGGATAGCGAAAAAAAAGGATTTGGGATATTGATATGGCGGGTATGCGGAAAAGTTGTCTTTTTCGATGTAGAATCCAGTGCAATTTTTTATTTTGAGATCGGACAATATTTTCCGATCGCGCAACGAGTTCAAAGTTATGCATTAGCTCTTATGGGAAAAATCGTCAAAAACCATGAAAAAATGAAAATCGAAAATTTGGGCTTTGTATGTGATGTTTTATGAAAATCTGTTTTCATAGATGCAACCTACGCCATAAAAGGCATCCACTGATGTGTCAAACTTGATATTATAGTGAGCGGTTCAGTCCCGGCCAGGTATCAATTTAAGCCGAAATTGCATCAAATTGCACAAAAGTCATGAAATTATGCAGCCTACACCGCCTAAACCATGGGTTGCAATATCGGGTGTGATACACCACTAGATGCCTTTTTTGGCGTAGATTGCATTTATGAAAACAGTTTTTCAAAAAACATCACATACAAAGCCAAAATTTTCGATTTTCATTTTTTTGACTTTTGACGATTTTTCCCATAAGAGCTAATGCATAACTTTGAGCTCGTTGCGCGATCGGAAAATATTGTCCGATCTCAAAATAAAAAATTGCACTGGATTCTACATCTAAAAAGACAACTTTTCCGCATACCCGCCATATCAATATCTCAAATCCTTTTTTTTCGCTATCCTCTACTACACACAGTGGTTTCTTTAGCAGGGGAAAGACCAATTCGTAACTCGATGGGCCCCAAGAACGTCCCTCGATCTCCTGGGTGACGCTTCAACGTCGTCCGATTTCTCAACATGTTACAAAATATCAAAACTCCCCCCCCCCCGTTTTCCTTTCTAAAATGTTGACCTTCATTTCTGGAGGGCTAGATGCACCAATTATCAGAATTCCCCCACATATGTTTGTGCTTTCATCCTTAAACGCCAATTGAAACGCCAGTTGAACATTTTATTTCTTTAACTTAATCGTGTGGGATCTTTGATCTAAACCGTGTTTTTCATTTTTACTTGCATTTTTCTCATAAACTATATTTTTACCCGTTCTTTACCAACAATATACACCTACTTGGTGGTTAAGGAACAAGTATTGTTCTACGTATAGGGTTTGCTTGGATTTCTAGGGGGTTCTCAGCTGTATCAAATTTAACTCAACTATTTCGTGGTTTAACAAATCTCCCGGGGGTCAAATAATCTGAAAGTTCAAGTATCTAGGATACCATAAATAGCCCATTCCCAATTGGAGGCCAAAGTAAAAAGTTGTCGGGGTTCGGGCCAAAAACGATAGATTTTGACTAGAAGTAAACTTTGGTCTTAGTCCGAGGTCTCTGCGACTAAGCGCCAGTGAGCTGATTGGTCTGTTCTTTTTGGGCGAACGATTCAAGGCATCATCTTGGAGCGCTCGCCACGGGCACCCCGCGGTGCTGACAGAAGTGACTCACTGCCGAGTTAGGTCCAAATGACCCCTACTTCCAGCTCAACCACCAGAATCCGCTGTCGGCCTGCCCCCGTTACGTGCAGGGGCCTAAATGACGCGAAATACGGCACTGAAGATTGCCAGAAATAATTCCAAATTGAGTGAGTGATTTTTTCGTGCCCTTATGTCGGGCAGGTTATGCCCTTTTGATCACCGTATAGCATGCCACTAACACTCGTCGGGTGTGGGCGTGAAATAGAAAAAATGCCAAAAAGGTGTGAATCCGCCTGCCAAGTAGGCAGCAGCAATGCATGTAGGTGGTGCCTACCTCGCATCAAAATCACACCAGATAACGCCAGATCATTCACAAATCATGCCCGATCACGAGCGATCATACCCAAATCACACCAGATCAAGCCACATCACACCCAAATCAAACCAGATCATACCCAAAGCACACCAAATCACGCCAAATTACACCCAAATCACGCTAGATCACGCCAAATAATACCCACACGCCAGATCATACCTTAACCACATCAGATAACGCCAAATCATACGCAAATCACAAATCATAACAAAATCACGCCAAATCACACCAGACAACAGATCATACCCAAATCAACGCCAGATCATAATAATATCGCATCAAATCAAGCCAGATCTAGCTACATCACGATCAAATAACACAGTATCACACTCTAAATGAGCCACGTCACGCCAGATCATACCGAAATCAAATCGAATCACGCTAAATCATTCCCACCCACGCAAGATCATATCATAAATCACACCAGATCATACCGAAATCACGCCAAATCACACCCAAATCACGCCAGAATGTACCCAAATCACGCCAGATCAAACCCAAATCAAACCAGATCACGCCAGATCATAACGAAATCACACCAATTCAAACCAGATCATACCCAAATCACGCCAGATCATATCTAAATCACACCAGATCACACTTAATCACACCTTAATCACGCCAGATCCACCCAGATCATACCTTAATCAAACCAGATCACGGCAGATCATACCCAAATCTCGCAGGTCATACAAAAAATCACGCTGGATCACACCAGATAATACCCAAATTACGCCAGATCAAGCCAGATCATACAAAAATATTTCTAGATCACGCCCGATCATACAGAAATCACGCCCGATGATGCCAGACATTACAAAAACCACATCGCACCACGCCAGATCATACCAAATCACGTCAGATCATACCGAAATCACGCCAAATCACATACAAATCACGCCAGATCACGCCAGATTATACACAAATCACGCCAGATCATACCCAAATCACACCAGATCACGCCTGATCATATTGAAATCACACCAGTTCACACCAGATCATACCCAAATCACGCCAGATCACACCAGATAATACCCAAATCACGCCAGAGGAGGCCAGATTATAACTTAACTACACCAAATTACACCAGATCATACCAAAATCAAACT